ACTTTTTAAGAACCGTATTCAGAGGCGTGTCTGTAAAGGAACTCCCAAATGTGGTCCATCTGATGACTCAGGTGCATGACCTGAGTCCATTCCTGACTCGTTGACTAGAACAAGCAGAATAGTGCTTCCGTTGGCGTTTGTTCCATCCAAATAGAAAAGACTGTAAGAAACATCTCATTGACCCTAGAAGTCACTCATGGTACCGCCTCTGTTCCAGATGGAAGACAAACCAGCCTCAACTCACTGGCATGAGTAGTGATGGATAACCATATTGCTTACCGTATAAACTCGTGTCTAAGCCGAGTTTCTCAGCACATTTTAAATGCAATTTTTGTGGTAAAATTGGGTGCCTCAACTGGACATCCCCTTACAGAAGAGTCGCGGGGAGAAGACGAGCCAGTCAGGGTGAGATGTAGCAACCATGAAACATACAACTTTCCTCTAGTTCCTAAATGCTTCCTCTCCCTACCCCCCACTATCATGATCCCAATTCTATCTTAGAAATCCGGCTAGACCAGAGGATGTACACTGGTACAGATAGGAACTGGAAACACAGGGAATCCAGAACAGATGAACCCCTTAGGACCAGTGGTGAGAGTGGCGATACTAGGAGGGTGGAGGGGAGGTGGGGTAGAAAGGAGGAACCTGATTACAAGGATCTACATGTAACCCCCTCCCTGGGAGACAGATAGCAGAAAAGGGGGTGAAGGGAGACGTCAGACAGTGGAAGATATGACAAAATAAGAAACATTTATAAATTATCAAGGGTTCATGAGGGAGGGGAAACAGGGAAGGAGGAGAAAATGAGCTGATATCAAAGGCTCAAGTAGAAAGCAAATGTTTTGAGACTGATGATGGCAACAAATGTACAAATGTGCTTGACTCAATGGATTGATGCATGAATTGTGATGAGTTGTACGAGCTGCCAATAAAATGATTTCAAAAAATATTAGGTGCCTCGGCTGATATTCAGGTCAACTTATACTTGAGTATATACGGTAGGCTTTTTTGTTGTGGTTTTGTTTTGCTTTGGTTCCGTTATGGCAGCATCTGTGACTCTGCTAAACTACACGCTGTACTTGGTCGATTAAATAGGCAAGGTGGAACAGACAACACAATCTCCTTAGGGAAAACACTGCTTGGCTTTCCAAGGTCAATCCTTATGTCTGTGGATTTTTATTCTTTTGGCTTAGATTGGGCAATTGGAATTCCTGGTTCCAAAGTTTCCTCCAGGGACTTGTTCTTGCTTTTGTCACAGTGGTCATGGTGCTGTTCCACTCTATGTTCCATCCGATGTCTCAAATGCTTTTGTGTGTAGAACAAGCCTCTGTCTTTCCTCTCTATGCCTGGTCTCTTGGTTCCTGGCCCTCCTTCACTAATCATTCATAGGCTCCAGCACATATTGGCCACAAATGGGTATGCAGGTGCCTTTGCTTTGACCCCTGCAGTAGTAGGGGTCTACTACCCCAGAAGTAGGCTGCAGCTGTTGTATCCTTCCATCTCGCAGCTCCTACAAAGTCCCTCTCCTCCCTTCTTCTGAGGGTTGGTAAAGTAACCATTAGCAAGGGATGAGGTATTGATTGGGTTTTGATCATTTTATTGGGAGCTCCTACAGATATTATAACAGCTATAACTCAATTAGATCAAGCATAATTGTATAATTACTACCACCATCAGTTTCAAAACATTTTCTTTCTTCTTGAACTCTTTGATTTCAGCTTCCCTTCATCCCTTCTCCCCACCCCCACCCCCCATGAGACATTTTAAACATGTCCTGCCATTCACCAGGCTGGGAAACATTGATAAAACAAGCTACAATGTGAACAGCAGACAGTAAAACCGCAGGACAAGGTGCAGCTGTCAAATATCATAGGACGACTACTGCTTTCTGATTGAGAAATCCTGTTCCCTAAAATCTCTGACTACCCGACATTTTGCTGGTTCAAATTAGGTCAGCAAAAGTGTTAGCTCCCACTCTAACTCATTTGAACACCAAAACCCAGCTTTGATTTACAAGCCAGTTGTGTAGATTTAGATAAGATTTTTTTTTGGACGCAGCATTCCACACTTATCTAACTTTGTAGTTTCCAAGGAAACGGGACCTTTGGGTCCACTTCATTTGGCTCTAACTTTATACCACGCAGCTTTGCTTTGAGCCCATAGAAACACTATTTCAGACCAATCTCGCTCAAACTCGACTTTCCCCTAAAGGACATAGCGCCTCTGTTTTGTCCCTTTCCCTGGGCAGACGTTCCTTGGTCCCTGTATTAGTCTAGGTACTTTGGAGAAACAAATCCACAGCAACTCATGTATAAGAGAGAGTTTTATGCAAAGAAAATGTGCATCACGAAAACATCCCAACCCAATGCTGCCCAAGCCCACAAGTCCAACATTAACCCATACCCAACACCAGTCCACAAAGTCCTTCACCTCACAAAACAGAGGCAATAATGCGGACTGCAGGAGGAAAGCTGAGTCAGTGAATGTGTAAGCATCTCAGCACTGGCAGGGGTCTCCACACGGCTGCTCCAGCACCCAAGGCTGCATCAGGATAGATCCATGCGGCTTCTCCTTGGGGATGTCTTGTAGGACGTCAATCTTGCAAGCTGAAGCAGGAAGCTGCTAAAGCAGCTTGCACCCGATGCAACCATCACAAAACAAGAGACCCGAGAACTAGAAAGGCGAGGCTTCACCACCCATTTATCCCTCCACCTTTCAACCAGCACCACATGTGATTATCGGCCAGGCTGGCACAATTAACTAACTCAGTCCCTCTGCTGTTTAGTCTCCCTAACTTAGGTTGCAGAAGTAACCCCAGTGTTGCCAGACTACAAGTCGTCTCTGGTGACTCAGGACTTTTCCAGGGTCCCCCCAAAGGCTCCCCTTCTTTTCTCCTGCCTTGACTTTATCTTCCGAGGGCCAGCTCACGGCCAAGGGTTGTCAGGTTGTCTGTTCCCCACATGAGGGCAGGAGGGAACACAGATGCTGTGCTCTGGAAAATCTTAAGAGCTTTCTTTCTCCTTTACTGAGTGCTCAAGATGAGCTAGATGGAAGACTTTACTTTATCCTCACAACCATCCTAGATGGTATTACTATTGCCACCTCCAATTTACAGGAAAAGAAACCAAGTCACAGAGACATGAAACAACTCACTTGCCCAACCAGGTCATGTGGTTAGTAAACAGTTTAGCTGGGATTTGACGAAGTTTCGTTACGGACAGAGCTTGAATGCAGAGTGTTTTTGTTTTTACTTTTTATTGTGAATTTGACCAAGGTTTCCAGAGCAGATCATAGTGTTGTGTTCTATTGTGTGTCTATCTCTCCATTTGTGTCTACCTCTCCATTCTACCTGCCTCCATCTTGTGGTGTGTGTGTGTGTACCTCTGCTTTGTTGTATATATCGCCTTCTCTTTATCCAAGGGTATCTGTCTGCTCTCTAACTGGTGACTTCCCCTTCCTCCCTCTCACTCTGTGGCTGATAACCATCAACACATGTTGCTTTCAGTGCGAAAATCTTTCCTTGACTTTTTATAACAGTGGTTTCATACAATATCCGTTTAGCGTGGACTCATTTCACTTAATTAGCTAGATGTGCTTCAGGGTACTTACATACAGAAACATAAGGAACTAACACGCAACCTTTCTGAATGGCTGATAGTTAGAGCTTTGTTTATTCAGTCTCAAATATTTATGAGGCCCCAGAAGTTTTATTCTAACGATCATCAAACATTTAAAAATAACTTTTTCAGTAGTAGAGTAGCTCTTCTAGCTAACCTATCTGAAACCACATGTAACTAGATTTTGAGGCCATTGTGTACAAGAGTGTATTTTTGAAAATGGTGGCAACAAATGTACAAATGTGCTTGATACCAGGGATGGATGTATGGATTGTCATGAGTTGTACAGGCCCCCTAATAAAATGACCAAAAAAAATGTATTTCTGTCATGAGTTTCCTGAAACAATCTGATTGTAATCTTAATCACCTTTTCCCAGAGTGATATTTTTATTTTTATTTATTTATTTTTCCAGAGTGATATTTTTATAAACAGCTTCCTCCCTCCTTGATTTTTCACGGACAGCAAAAGTTTAACTCTTTCGTGAGTCTGCTCCAAGTGTGGGTTGCTTGATGCTGACTCATAGCGACCCTAAAAGGGCATGGTCGAAATCTCCCTGTGGGTTTCCGAGGATCTAATTCCTTACAGGGACAGAAGCCTCGTCATTCTCCCCAAGAGTGGCTGGTGGTTTCGAACCGTTGACCTTACGGTGAGAAGCCCAATCCGTAACCCACACAGTGGACTAAATTCTGGTTCCTTTTCTTCTGGACCCGGGCGGAAGTGCTTTAACGGCAGGAAGGGGCCCCTTTTCGCAGCCCTTGGCTTGCCACCTGCAGAGTGCGCCTGGCACACTGGTCACTCCGGTACCAGGGCGCGCGCCGCGCGGCCGTTCCAGTAAGGAGGGTTTCCCGAAGCGTCGCGCCGCGGGCGCGCACAACTTCCAGCCAGGGTCTTCCGGTTTGGACTCGCCCGCCGGCTCCAGGCCCCGGCCCGCCGTGGTTCCCGCCACGAGACGCTGGGGGCGGCGACGGAAGTTCTGCCGTCCAGCGTTTCCGCCCCTCCCCTCCCCGCGTCTCAGGGGGCGGGGCCTGCAGCGCGCGCTGCTCCCGACGCCGCCTGCGCGCGCCGAGGCGCCTGCCGATTGGCCGCTCCGGTCTGTTTCTCCCGCGGAGGGACCTCCCCCCGCATTTTCCGCTCGCGGGAGCCGCGCGTTGGATGTGGTTCTGGTCGTCTCTTGGTCCGACGTAGCGGCTGCCCCTTGGCCACCGTCGCTATGTCGCGACAGAGCACCTTGTATAGCTTCTTTCCCAAGTCTCCCCCGCTGAATAAAGCCAGCCAGGCCCCAGCCAGGCCCTCTAGCGACGGCGACACTGCCGCCAGCCCCCGGGCCTCGCCTACCCGCAGTGGGGGTGCGGCCCGGAGCGAGGCCGGGCCTGGGCCGGTGGCGGGCTCCGCGCCGCCACGCGAGGAGAAGAAACTCAACGGAGGGCTGCGGACGCCGGAGGTCCCCGCCAGGTAGGCGGTGGGAGGCCGAGCGCGCGGAGCCTGGGTCAGGGGGTGTGCGGCTAGGCCGTGGCTCGGAGGAGCTGGGACTGCCCCGTCGCCTCAGAAAAAGTGGGGTGTGAGTTGGCGGGTGTACTCTGAGAACGGGCAATGCAGAGGAAATCGACTGCAGGGAGGGGGGCTGGAGAGGCGGGGAGACTTGCAGAGTTCCGGCGCTTTGGGGGGAAGAGAAGGTGCACCGCCTGGTGGGGGCTTCAGGAGGAGGAAGGGGGAGTGCATGCAGTCGGTGTTTGGAAGAGTAACCGCAGGCGGAGCTCGCACTGTGGGGCCGGAAGAGAAGTGCCTGCTCCGCTCGGCGCGGGGAGCGCGGGAAGGCGGAGGTGCCAGCCCGCGGCGGGGGAGGGGCGGCGGGAAGGAGGAATGCCTTCGGGCAGGAGGAATGCACGCATCCGGTAGGGGCGGGGCAGGCAATGGGGTGGTTCCTTTAGTTCCTGGTTGGGACCCTTGGTTCACCATTGGGAGATAGTTGACGCGTGCTACGTACACTTGCTAGGTGGAGCGACTGCTGGGGGCGGGGAGTCCACGGCTGGGTCTCGAGGGCCGTAGAGGGGCTTGGGCCGCGTGCAGAGGGCGGGTCTTAGAGGCGTGGTTGGATGGAGGCGCGGAGGGAGGGAGAAAGTGCTGGGACTGAGTTGGATCCTAGCACAGTGAAGATTGCACATGTGCCGAAGCAACTGGAAACGTTAACAGACATTTAAAATATTTGTTTTGGCACATGTAGGTGCTGAAAGTCTATTGGAGAGGTAGTATTTTATGGTGGAATTGAGAGGGTCTCACCCCACTGGGCCTGCTGCAGGAGCGTGTCCCAGGAGCACAATTCGGGTTCTGAAAAATGAGGCAGTGAAATTGAAGTCGATGGTATGAGGTTTTATTAGGGAACTTGCACACCGAGGCTGGTGTGCCAAATACCTCGCCATAGACGCGTCCCCACTCCCAAGAGGTCTGTGCAGGTGTGGGGTTTATATACTTAGTGCAGGTTGATATGCTTAGTACTTGTACACAATGATCTGTGCAAGGGATCAGGAAAAAATATCTGTGATGGAGGAGCCCTGGTAGTACAAGTGTTTAAGCTTGGGGCTGTTAGCTAAAGATTGCCATTTCAAACCACCCACTCTTGGGGGAAAGATGTGCCAGTCTGCCTCTAAAGGTTGCAGCCTTGGAAACCCATGGGTGGTTCTGTCCTGCCTATTGGGCTGCCGTGTGTTAGAATAGACTCTTTGGCAACGGGCTTGGCTTTTTGAGTCTGATGGATGGAGTTGTTTTAGTACTAGTTTCAATTGGCATTACTATGAGGTCAGGTGTTTGGGGTAGGGGTGAGGTTGTCCTGGCCCAAGTGACTGTTCTGGTAGTCTGTCCCAGTGCAGGATTCCTGTTGGATTGTTCATGGCCCTCACAGGGTGGGTCTCTGAAGGGCCCTGGTTGCAGGTGTGTGGATGCTATCGCCTGCCTTGAGATGCTATCATGGTCTCATGGGCTTCCCCGGCACTTTCAAGGGCTTGGCTGGCCTTTAAATGGAGTACTAAGCAATACCTGGAAAAAACCAGATACAAGTTACCCCTTTTGTCCAAAAGAAGAGTGTTTTTTGTGAAACTGCTTGTAAACTAAAAAGGGGGCAAAGTGAAGAAGCAATTACCATTAATTTATATGGGAAATGCTTGTGTGTCCCAGACCCTCAATAACCAACCAAATCATACTAGTTAATGTTAATCATACTAATTAATGTTCCAACTGGCAGCTTGATGCAGAGTGTAGTTCTGGGGCAGAGCGAAGGTGTTCCACCTCATTTCTTGGAATGCGCCCTACCTCTTTAATGGCTCCTGCGAAACAGGGCTTTGGCTGGTTTCACTTTCAGCCACTTTTTTGTAAGTGAAAATTCACTTAGGCTTTTTCATTAGTGGAAACAGCTACTGATGCCTTTTGTAAAAGCAAAGTGGCACAAAGTGAAATTACAGAAAACAGTGGATCCCTGCCTGGGTTGTATGAGACACAAAGTATAGGTAATGGCAGACCTTTGAAGCATTGAGTAAGAGATAAGAGATTCAAAAAGAAACCCAGACAAACCACATTCAAGGTAGGAGAGCCAGTGAGTGGTTTTTGAGTCATCCATTGAACATGTCCTGAGGATGCTACGAGAGCCTTGGTGAAGTTGTGGGTGACAAGTTGGGCTACTCAGTGCCAAGTCAGCAGTTTGAACCCCCCAGCCCTTCAGACGGAGAAAGATGTACCGTCCCTAAAGCCCACAGGACTGTCCTGCTCTGTCTTACAGACGTGATGGCTGTTGAGTTTTTGTTTTGTCATGCTTCACTCTGCACTTGGCCAGGCACAGCATTGGGCATTGTGGCTCCAAGATGGCAGTGACCGAGAGAAGCAAGGCAGTTCATGCTAGGGTGCTCTGTATGTGTGAGCTGTGCTCACTGCCATTGAATCGGTTCCCACTGAACCTGAACTGACCCTGTGTGCAACATAACCAAACCCTCCCTTGGCCTGTGCCACCCTCACAATCCTTGCCAGGTCCTTCCTCTCGTTCCTTGACCCCTCTACAAAGCCAACGCCTTCCTCCGGACTAGTCCCTCTGACACCATGTTCACAGTATGTGAGCTGAACCCCTTTCTAAGGAGCATTCTGGCCATACTTTCTAAAACAGGTGTTCTTCTAACAGTCGACAGTATGCTGGAGAATCTTCGTCAACACCAAATTCCAAAGGCGTCCGTTTTGTCTTGGTCTTCCGGATTTAATGTCCAGCTTTCACACACCCATGAAGCTCTTGAAAACACCAGGCCTTAGGTCAGGCAGGGTAGCTGACCTAAACAGCTTTGCTTTTCACTGGGCGGATATCTAGAAACCTAATACAAAAGGCCAAGCTTGGGCCTAGTTCTCTGTCCCACAGACTTCATCTTAACAGTTTAAGGGAAGCTCAGGCCTTTCCCTATTTGTCATTTAGATTTCCTTTGTGCCGCAGTGTTTGCCCATTTGTCTGGTTCTTTGTCCTCTAAGTACGATGCAGATGACTTCTCACTTTGGGTGGTTCTTTGCTCCAGTTTATGGCAACTTTTGTAAAAGGCAGCCCAGGGGGACAGATGAAGGCTATCTGCTCACAAAGTTTCAGAACTTCTATAGACTCAGGGTCAGAATTGACTTATTAACAGAAGATATTTATTAATAAGTTAGTTGAATTTTCCGGTTTTCCTTTAGAGTTGATACTCTGTGGGTTTTGTTTAAGAATCCCATAGGGGAGGTTTGTGTGTTAGACCCCTAGCTGAAGTAAGCTGGTTGGATGCTGGCAGAGGATGCCGGGATAGGAGGGATTTAGAGGCAGAGTGGAGATTTGAGAGAATAGACAGGTGTTGAGGGTGTTCTTGATTGTGAAAGGTGGGCTACTGCAAGTAGCTTGACATTTGTGCTCTGAGCCTCCTGCTTAATACAGACCAACCTTGGAGATAGTGGAATGTGGTGGTAGATCACTGCAACATGGCAGGTCACACAACCCTTTTGGTTTCCAGCCGCTTGCAAAAGTTACCTTTCTATAATACTGTAGTCTAGTAAGTTTGCAATGAGCCCAAACCAAACTCAGTGCCATCAGTCAATTCTGACTCATGGTGACCCAATAGGACAGTGTAGAACTGCCCCTGTGAGGTTCTGGGGCTTGTAATCTTGATAAGAGCAGAAAGCCACCTCATCTGGCTCCCTTGGGAGAGCCGCTGGTGGTTTTGAGCTGCTGACTTTGATGGGTTAACAGCCCTAACGAGGAATCCATTATGCCACTAGGGCACCTAAGACACACATAGACCAGTGTCAGTACAGAACTGTCCCAAGTAGTTCAAAGGTGGAAGCAGGCTAATGTATACGCTGTTGAATGGGCAGCATATTCAAGGGGATTTCCAAACTTCAGAAGTTTTCATTCCATTTTTCCCACGAATTTTTTGAAGCCCCTTGTACATAGAGTGGAATGCTTGCTACTCAGCCATACATGAATATAATAAAGGAAGCCTTGTATACACATGCCGTAGCATACCATCCCGAACCTTGAAAACCTGCCGAGTGAGATAAGTCACTCATGCAAAAGGGCAAATACTGCATGATCTCAGATGGAACACCTAGACTAAGAACATGTGCAGTATAAAATTTAATTAATGGTTACGAGAGGCAGGAGGCATTGTTGGGGAGCAGTGAGTTTCTGTTTATGGTGATGGAAAATTTGGCATTGCTTATTGGTCGTGGCTGCACACGACTCCAGCAATTACTAGCACTGTTGTACAAAGGAAAGACACTGATTGACAAAGGTGTGACCAATGGATACAGAGGTACACATATTTAATACAGTACCTGCAACAATGGGCTCAAACATGGCAGCAATTGGGCAGGAGGGCCCAGGACCTGGCATTGTCCATGGTGCGTAGTGTTGCTATGGGTCAGAACCAATTCAGTGGGCCCCTAAACAACAATATATGTAAGAAGGATTTTTAACGGAAAAATAAAGGCTTTTTAAAAATTTTGTAACGTTCTGCCCTAGTTTGGGATGTTGACTTAGTTCTCTGAAGTTTTTCATAATGTTGCCTAATACTCTAGCGTCTAGTGCAGGGGTCCTCAAACTTTTCAACCAGGGGGCCAGTTCACCATCCCTCAGACCCGTTGGAGGACCGGACTATACTTTAAAAAAAAAACAAACAAATTGCTATGCACATTGCACATATTTTATTTTGAAGTAAAATAACAAATGGGGCAAAAACACCCTGCGTGTCGGATAAGTGTCCTCGGCGGCCGCAGTTTGAGGACGCCTGGTCTAGTGTATTATAAAAGAAAATTCAGTGTTATTGTGGACTCCGTTTTACAACTCTAACTTGTTTTAATTTATGTAACTAGTTAAAAAGTTTGTTTTTAATGTCAGATTTGCCATGCCTGGTAGTGGAACCTTTTTCGAGCATTATTTCAGTATCAGCTCTGCACTTTGGGAATGGCCTTTCATTCTGATGACAAGGTGTCCCCGCTTTTCAGCTGTTTTCAGGAATGGAAGAAACACCTCTTCAGAGAACCCCAGTTTCTTTCAGCTTCTTTTGCAGGGCGATTTAGGAATTGTACTAGAGTCCAGTTCGGTGGATGCTGTGAGGGTGTGGGATGGGAGGGATTAATTTACTCTTTAATTACTTCTTTGCTAAGTGCCCAATTTAGTTAATAGAAAAGACTCCCTGGCTTTGGTATTTGAATCTTCTTTTTTCCCCCTTTGGTTTATTTTAGAATGTTATTTCACATCAGTGACGACTCATTTATATACACAAGTTCTTTTGTTTTGTTCTTTAGAACCAAATCCAATTTTTCTTTTATTTATAGGAGCAAAATTTTTTGCCCTTAAATAGGTGTTTATATATGTACACACACACACACACACACACACACACACATTCTAGTGGAGCTTTGGAGTTCACCAATTCTTTCAAAAACGAGTCCAGTGAAACGTTAGTCATAAAAGGACAAATGATGCTTGTACTTAGTGAAATACCTCCAATGAAACGTTAGTCATAAAAGGACAAATGATGCTTGTACTTAGTGAAATACCTCCAGTAGGCAAATGCAGAGTGGTCCCTAGGAGGAGGAGGAGGAGAACGGGGACTAACTAGTGTTTGGGGAGTGGGATAGAATGCAATGAATTTCTGTTAAGGCAGTTGGAAAGATTTAGCAAAGGACAGTGGTGATGATTGTACAACATCATGGATGTAATTAATGCCACTAAATCAGACATGTAAAAAATGTTTAAATGGCACCTTTTTGGTTACATACTTGATTATTTTATATATATATCTTTTTAAAAAAATTGTTCTAGTTTTTAATATTTTTTGCTTCCTTTTCAATTGAGATTTTCCTCTGCTTTACTTTGTTATTGTTGGCTTTTTTTAAATCGTTGTATTAGGGGCTCATATGACTCATCACAATCCATACATACATCAATTGTGTGAAGCTCATTTGGACATTCATTGCCCTCGTCATTCTCAAAATATTTGCTCTCCACTTAAGCCCCCAGCATCAGGTCCTCATTTTCTCCCCCTCCCTCCCCACTTCCCCCTCCCTCATGAGCCCTTGATAATTTATAAATTGTTTGTTTTGTCATATCTTGCCCTGTCCCACGTCTCCCTTCACCCTCTACCATCCCAGTATTGCCAGTCACACCACTGGTCCTGAAGGGATCATCCGCCCTGGATTCCCTGTGTTTCCAGTTCCTATCTGTACCAGTGTACATCCTCTGGTCTAACCAGACTTGCAAGGTAGAATTCGGATCATGATAGTGGGGGGTGGAGAGAGAAGCATTTAGGAACTAGAGGAAAAAGTTGTATTTTTCATTGTTGCTACATCGCTCCCTGTCTGGTTCGTCTCCTCCCTATATATAGTTTTTTTAAAAGTAGTAACACACGAGTGGTATTGTAATTTTGGGTACGGCCAGTAACAGACACCAAGGTTATGGTCTAAAGAGGATCTAAAAAATACAATTTTTAAATATCTTTTATAACTGGTTTATTTTGTTAAGTTCTGTTAAAGCTTTTATATGTATTTTTCTGAGCTTTCACTGTTTTTTAAAACTTATCTTTTAATTCTGTTTCACTGTCTATATAAAAGCCCTAGGAGAGCCCTAGTTATGCTTTGGGGCTGTATGACACCCATCGGAACACCCCCTCCCCACCCACCCCCAAAAAAACCAGCTACCATCTAAACCTGTAGTCTCAGAAACCCACAGGGGTCGTTATGAGTCAGCACTTACTCTGTGGCAGAGAGTTTGGTTTGGGTTATAAAAGCACTAAGAATACAAAAGTGGGCATTTAAAATATATCAGAACTTTAGAAGCACTTATAAAATCATGGTTGAATCTCGTTTAAATAAATCAAATCATAATTCCAATATTTATTTTGACAATTTCCTTTGGGATTTATGAATACTCATTGTCTTTAACAGTAAGGTTTTCTTTTGTTTTCCTATTGGATCATTGAGGGTGAGGTGATATTTGAAGAGAAAATTGTTTAGACAATTCAGTTTATATGCACATTTTTGTCTTTCCACCAGAATTCTGTCAGTTTTTAAAGCTTTGAATGATTCGTATGAGAACTTATTTGCTTGTTTTTAACAGGATTGTGACTTTTGTGTTACTTAAAAAATGACCTAAACATGTTTTTTAAAGTCATGAATTACAGAAGATTTCAGCGGTGTCTGAGGGTACTTTTTGTATTTATCTGTAGGTAATTGCTGTTAAGGCAGTTTGACCAAATACTAACTAACCAAGTTACCTTTTTTGTCAACAGTGCTTATGATTTCACGCCAGGTGATCTGGTTTGGGCCAAGATGGAAGGTTACCCCTGGTGGCCTTGCTTGGTTTACAACCACCCTTTTGATGGGACGTGCATCCGGGAGAAAGGGAAGTCAGTCCGAGTTCATGTACAGTTTTTTGATGACAGTCCAACAAGGGGCTGGGTCAGCAAAAGGCTAGTAAAGCCATATACAGGTAAGAGTGAGGGAGATCCACCTCCCTTGAGTATTGAGTGTAGTGAAACAAAATGTATTTGTAGGAGTGGCTGTTGAGTGCATGTCTAAACTTCTGGCATCCCAGGGAAGGATAAAACAGGGATCATCTTCAGCCAGTAGATTGGACTTTTTGGTTTTGGCATTTCAGTGACTTACATCATGATGCCCACAAAGGAAAATTAATCTTATGACTGGAATTAATAATCAAAATACCAGATTCAGGCATGAAGAAGAGGTATTAAAGTGTCCCTCATTTTAAAGGATCTAAAAGAAAAAAGTTGTAGTCAGGGCAGCACCTAGCCTTCAAAGTCCTCTCATCACCCCTGAGCACGCCTAAGACGAGCGGCATATCAGACTTTTTTAGCCATAGTTTTTGCCTTCCTGGCTGGCCTTCTCACAAGCACCAGTAGGCTCACTAGGCTAGCTGTGCAGGTCAGCCTCCTGAAGTTTGCAGTGCTTGCCCCCAGTGTGATTGCAGAAGACTTGCTGAGTACACAAGTCCTGTTTCGTTATCCTCAGACGATAGGCTCCTTAGTTGCTGAATTCCATCATGTAGAACCAGGGACAAGGGACAATTTTCTAGAAATCTCGAGAAGAAACATGCCTTTTAGGCCATAGTAGTCTACTCAAAAACAAAACTTCAAACTCCCTGCCATTGAGTTGACTCCATCCAGCTCAGCGTCCCTTAGAGGATAGAACTGTTTCTGTGGATTTCTGAGACTGTCACTCTGTACAGGAGTACAAAGCCTTGTCTTTCTCCTGTGGATGGGCTGGTGGTTTTGAACTCAATGGTTAGCAGCTTCACTGCCATGGCTCTTCCTGAGTACAGGGAGGGAAGCTGATGGAAATCTAATAGGAAAGCAAGAGTAATAATTGAGAAACCTTGTTTGACCACTACTAATTTTCTGTATCATGCCAGCCAAAGTAATTTATTTCCTGAGAATTTACTCATAGATGAAATGAAAAGGTTGGGCTAGAGGAGAGATGACGCCCCTTTAAAGCAGGACTAATTGTGAAGTTACAAACCTAACTTTGGAATGAACATGACTATCTTGTGTTTTGTAATCTACGTTTGTCCTGTGTATTGTTAACCCTTAATAATCTCGAGTTATTGCAGTACGGACCTAAATCAGCAAATGAGGCCTGAGTTGTGTCATTCAGATTGGTGTTGGAACAGAGGTGTAACTAAGTGGTGGGGAGGGAGCAGGGGGTGGGTCCTGCTGCAGCTGGCACTTCAGAAGAAGTTGAGAGCCACCACCTTCCTGGCCAATTTTGCTTGTAGCAGTGTGTAGCTTTGGCACAGCACTTATTTTTTGGCAAACCATAAAAGTTGCTAATTTCTTGGAAGTGTAGGTTGTCCTATACAGAAAGTAAAGTGGTAATGTTTTGAATCTCTTAAATCTGGCATGAGCTCAATGGCAGTGGGTATAAAATATACAAGTATATTCATGCAGAAACAACACAGACATTTCTGGTTTTGCCTCTTAAGTAGTAGCTTAATATATTAGACTTGTGGTATTCTGTGTTGTGTCTGCAAATAGAAATATCAATACTAAAACTCTTTTAAATGAAGGGAAATTTTAAAGCAGAGCAAGACATTTTGAAGCAACTGTTTTGAAAAATACATTTTAACATGTCCAAAGTGTGAAGTTGGCTACTCCCACAAGCTTCTATCCCCATTACTGTTATGGCCCTATAACATGACTGTGTCTTTAAAAAGTCCTACCTGCCTTTGGGACAAAAGACATTTTAACATTTTAGCTTCATTTCGTAGTCTTTACCTTCCTGATCAATTGCTTATACAAAGTCTCAAGTACCTCGCTTGAAGAAGCATATGCCATACTTGTTTAGTGCTAGTGTCTTAGGTCATTAGAAGAGAGAGACTAAGTGGCCCTCGGTGACCCAGCACTTAAAAACTAATTTCAAGGAATAAGTAATTTCCATTTAAGTGGTAGCTTTCCCTGAAAATTCCTTCCTTTTGTGTTTTATTGTAATCTATTTCTCAATAAAAAGTAATGGGGTATTAAGTATATATGTGATTTATTGCCTTAAGTCTTTTTCATTACGGGAAGTATTAGGGGTTAAACCAAATATACAGCCAACTTATTTGTAATTGCATGGTTTTTATCCTAGGATCAAAAGCAAAGGAAGCCCAGAAGGGAGGGCATTTTTACAGTGCAAAGCCTGAAATACTTAGAGCCATGCAACGTGCAGATGAAGCCTTAAGTAAAGACAAGGTTAAGAGGCTTGAATTGGCAGTATGTGATGAGCCCTCGGAGCCAGAAGAAGAGATGGAGGTGGGGCATTACAATTTGTTAGGACTCGTTGCACTTGAATCAATTTTGATTCCTAGTGGCCTGTTGGACAGAAACAGAACTACTGCCCTAAAGTGTTTCCAGGGCTATAAATCTTGGGAAGCCGATTGCCACATCTTTGTCCTGAGGTGGTGCTGGTGGGTTTGAACCACCAACCTCTAGGTTAACAGCTGAGCACTTCAGCTTTGTGTTAGGAGGGTGAAGGAAAATCAGGCATCTTGAAATAACATATTACATACTTGTATATATGTGTGTACACACAGAGAGGGCAGGTATGTTGTTGTAGTAGATTGCTGACATTTTGGCAGCTAGCAATGTTCAGAATGGTAATGACTCCATCTTAAATTGGTCGTGTAGTCTAGTGGTAGGCTTCTGAAGGAAAGTGTAGTCAGGTCCTCACAGTCACCAGGCTTATGCTTTCTGATGTAGCTTGCATTGCCAGTAATAAATGTTAAATAACTTTGAATGCGACTTTAACTTTACAAAGTGTTAGGGAAACAATTATATTGATTTCATTTAAAAATAAATGACCATTAAAGTTTTAAATCTTAAGTTCTGGATTAAGATCAGGAATTAGAACATGTATCAGAGGTTTAGAACTGGATGATCCATTCAGAGATCCTAATAAATTGAGCCTAATAGCAACAGGACGGTGACCCACGATAGTCAGTGGAACTTGTCCAGGATGTGTAGAAGCTGGTCTGGAGAAGACTTGTGGAGCACTAGAATCGTTGTGATTTTAAATCACAAACTTCAACTGAGAAGATCTGAAGTTATTTCCACAGCAGTGAACATTCCATCTATTAGTACTAGTGGTGTTTGGCTTCATAGCAGGTATAGAACGCCCTTTAAATCCCACAAATTTATTCTGTACTGCAGTGTGACATTTGTTTTAAAGTTGAAAGTTGACATTTCTTGGGGGGGGGGGTGTTTTTTGTCTCATTTTTTCCCGAAGGTCTTGGGCTTCAGAAATTTTTTTGGGGGGAAGGGGAATGGAGTGAAAAGATAATGGAATTTTTCCCTATACTTTTTTTTGAGCTCTCATACATATGAAATTGTGTTTAATACTCTCTTCTCTACGCGGCAGGTCGATGTAACCAATGCGGTAGATAAGCATGAAGAAGATAATGCAGTGGAGAGTGAAGAGGAAGTGCAGCCTAAGATAGAAGGACCTAGGCGAAGTAGCCGCCAAGTTAAAAAACTCAGAGTCATATCAGACTCTGAGAGTGACATTGGTGGTTCTGATGTGGAATTCAAGCCAGATGCCAAGGAGGAAGGAAGCAGCGACGAAGCAAGCAGTGGGATGGGGGACAGTGAGAGCGAAGGCCTGTACAGGCCTGCCAGGGTCACTGCAAAGCGGAAGAGAATGGTGGCTGGAAACGGCTCTCTGAAGAAGAAAAACTCAAAGAAGGAAGTGCCCCATACCACTCAAAAAGCAACTGGCATTTCACCAGAAACCAAGAGTAATTTGGGTGCTTTTGCTGCTCCTCAAAGTTCTGAATCCCAAGCCCACACTAGCGGAGGGGATGACAGTGGCCGCCCCACTGTCTGGTATCACGAAACGTTAGAATGGCTTAAGGAGGAGAAGAGAAGAGATGAACGGAGGAGACGGCCTGATCACCCTGAATTTGATGCGGCCACACTCTATGTGCCTGAGGATTTCCTTAATTCCTGTACTCCTGGGATGAGGAAGTGGTGGCAGATTAAGTCTCAGAATTTTGATCTGGTCATCTTTTATAAGGTGGGAAAATTTTATGAGTTATACCACATGGATGCCCTCATTGGAGTTAATGAACTGGGCCTGGTATTCATGAAAGGCAACTGGGCCCATTCTGGTTTTCCTGAAATTGCATTTGGCCGATATTCAGATTCCTTAGTGCAGAAGGGTTATAAAGTGGCGCGAGTGGAACAAACTGAGACCCCAGAAATGATGGAGGCACGGTGCCGGAAGATGGCACATGTATCTAAGCACCATAGAGTGGTGAGGAGGGAGATCTGTAGGATCATCACCAAGGGCACACAGACCTACAGTGTGCTGGAAGGTGATCCCTCAGGGAACTACAGCAAATACCTTCTTAGCCTCAAAGAAAAAGAGGAAGATTCTTCGGGCCACACTCGCGCATACGGTGTATGCTTTGTTGATACTTCATTGGGAAAGTTTTACATAGGTCAGTTTTCTGATGATCGCCATTGTTCTAGGTTCAGGACTCTAGTGGCACACTATCCTCCAGTACAAGTCTTGTTTGAAAAAGGGAACCTCTCAACAGAAACCAAGATGATCCTTAAGAGTTCATTATCCTCTTCTCTTCAGGAAGGGCTGGTATCAGGCTCCCAGTTTTGGGACGCAGCCAAAACTTTGAGAACTCTCCTAGAAGAAGGGTATTTTACAGAAAAGCTAAATGAGGACAGTGGGGTGATGTTGCCGCAGGTGCTTAAAGATATGACCTCAGAATCTGATTCCATTGGCTTGACACCAGCAGAGAAGAGTGAGTTGGCCATCTCTGCTCTGGGTGGTTGTGTTTTCTACCTCCAAAAATGTCTTATAGACCAGGAGCTTTTGTCAATGGCTAATTTTGAAGAATATATTCCCTTGGATTCTGACATAATTAGTGCCACAAGACCTGGTGCTGTCTTTGCTAGAGCCAATCAACGAATGGTGCTAGATGCAGTGACATTAAACAATTTAGAGATTTTCTTGAATGGGACAAATGGTTCTACTGAAGGGACTCTGCTAGAGAGGATTGACACGTGCCATACTCCTTTTGGTAAGCGGCTTCTAAAGCAGTGGCTTTGTGCCCCACTCTGTAGCCCTTTCCCTATCAACGATCGATTGGATGCCATAGAAGACCTCATGGCTGTACCTGACAAAATCTCTGAGGTGGTAGATCTTCTTAAAAAGCTTCCCGACCTCGAGAGGCTGCTGAGCAAAATACATAATGTTGGCTCTCCCTTGAAGCTCCAGAACCACCCAGATAGCAGGGCTATAATGTATGAAGAAACAACATATAGCAAAAAGAAGATTATTGATTTTCTTTCTGCTCTAGAAGGATTCAAAGTAATGTGTAAAATTATAGAGATAATGGAAGAAGTTGTTGATGGCTTTAAGTCTCAACTCCTCAAGCAGGTCATCACTCTCCAGACAAAAAATCCTGAAGGCCGTTTTCCTGACTTGACTACAGAACTTAACCGATGGGATACAGCCTTTGACCATGAAAGAGCCCGGAAGACTGGGCTTATTACTCCTAAAGCAGGATTTGACTCAGATTATGACCAGGCTCTTGCGGACATAAGAGAAAATGAGCAGAGCCTCCTGGAGTACTTGGAGAAACAGCGCAGTCGGATTGGCTGTAGGACCATAGTCTACTGGGGAATTGGTAGGAACCGGTATCAGCTGGAAATCCCAGAGAGTTTCACCAACCGTAATTTACCAGAAGAATATGAGTTGAAATCTACTAAGAAAGGCTGTAAACGATACTGGACCAAAACTATCGAGAAAAAGTTGGCTAATCTGATGAATGCAGAGGAACGAAGAGATGTGTCACTGAAGGACTGCATGCGGCGGTTATTCTATAACTTTGATAAAAATTACAAGGACTGGCAGTCGGCTGTAGAGTGTGTTGCAGTGCTGGGTAAGACTTTAAGCAGCTTCTTTGGGTTTGGGATACACGTTCTCACTAGGCAAAGTTGCCACAGCAATTTCAAGTTGTTCACTTGAAACTTGCTTTTAGTTTAAGGTGACCATATTTTTTTAACATTGGTAAAGCGGGACACCATTGATAAAACTCATATTCTGGTGAAATAGCCACATGGCAGCCGAAAACCGTATACCCTAGCTTGTTGTGCACTCTTTCCAAAAATCGGAACTTTAAAAAAATGCCATGGGACGCAGGAAATATTGTCAAAAATCGGGACATCTGGTCACCTTATTTTAGTTGCAAGTAAGGCTCTGGCCTTTCGTCTTAACATTAAGATTGATAACATCTCCAGTACTTAATGAGACCCCAACAACTGTCATCAAGCTGATTGACTTATCGTAACCCTGGAAGACAAGGTAGAGGTGCCCCAAGTGAGTTTTTGAGACTCTCTCCCACTTAGGGTGCTGGTGGTTTTTCTACTGACCTTGTTAAAAGCCCAACACACTCACTAAACCACCAGACATGTTCTCTTAGTAGACTCGGCCCACATCACTTTCTGATGTACTTATAGCATTATATATATATATATTTAACAGAAATCAGGTGCCTTGTACATTTCATACTTCCCTTGTTCTCAGCCCAGGTTAGCATACCTTTTTTTTTTTCATTTTTAAACTTGGTAGCTTTTTCAGCTTCATGAATAATTCCTTTATAAAACCAACAGCCAATTTAACTAGAGCCTAAGCTCCGTTAGTTTAAATACAGCAACCACAGTTTGCTCAAATTTGTAGCATGAAAATGTACATTGATCTCACCATAACTATCCAGAATAGAAAAGGTATGCTGTCTTTATGATAGGTCAATAATGGAAAAATATGTACGGTAATCTAAAATCCTTACCCAGCACAAGTGTTCCGATTGGTCATTTTTCCGCTCAAGATATTTTTCATTAGTGTGCCTAGTCACAGAAAATAATACGTCTCCCAAGAAGTGTTAGTAATTCTGGCATTAGAGGCCTAAGTCCTCTGGTTGAAGAGATCTTTGGGGTAAAATGGAAAATTATTAATCATTTTATTGCCGGTGTTAAAATGAAGACATAAAACACCAAGGCAGATGCCTGTTTTGTTTTTTTAAATCATTTACATATCGCTAATGTTAAAGATGTCACTAACTAGAGTGCTAGAGAAAAAGCTGTTACGTATGTATCTAAACAAAAGCATAAAGACATGCCTTGAGTGAAACATTTTGAAATTTTTATTAAGTTGGGTCTTTGTGTTTTAGTTTACTTAGCAAGAAATTTCCCAAGTGTTTAAATACTTTGCTTTTAATCCCTCTTTCACAGATGTTTTGCTTTGTTTGGCTAACTACAGTCGAGGGGGTGATGGCCCTATGTGTCGTCCTGTGATTCTCTTGCCAGAAGGTGACACACATCCCTTCTTAGAGCTTAAAGGATCACGGCATCCCTGCATTACCAAGACCTTTTTTGGAGATGACTTTATTCCTAATAACATATTAATAGGCTGTGAGGAAGAGGAGGAAAAGGACAGCGCTTTTTGTGTGCTTGTTACTGGACCGAATATGGGGGGCAAATCTACACTCATGAGACAGGTAAGCAATCAAAAGGTCATTTGTTATATTTCAGGAATAGATATATTGTACATTTAGGTAAGTCTTTCACCCAAAGCATGAGTTATAGATAAGTAGGAAGCAAAAGGATTTTTTTACTAAAAGATTGAAGTTTCTGTCTACCTTTCTAGTAAAGTATCTTGTCATCTTCTTGTTAATGAATTTAGACTTAGGTGATCCAACATTTGCAGAGTAGAGCTGTGCTCCTTAAGCTGATGCTTGGGAAGCCAGGCTTTTGCTTGTCAAGGCCCCTTTTGGCCCGCATTCAACTGTTAGCATTTGCACAATCCAGGGACTTTTGCCTGATGTTAAAGCCCACTGTCATTGAATCCATTTCATTCACAGATATCTTATAGAAGTGTTTCCCAAATTGCATTGCCATGCTGCCTCACCCCAAACAAAACAAACACAGGGAGGAGGGGGGCTGCAAAAGCATATCCCCCCCCCCCTCAAAAAAAAGGGAGTGGTAGGCCAATTAAGTTTGAGAAGCCACATTAGGGTTTAACAGTGTTTGACCTGCAATTTGAACTGCAACAGATCAATTTGAACTGCAAACCTTGTGGCTCAGTAACAAAAGGGATGGGGGTTTAGGTCATGATTTGACTTGACTTTTCATTATTGTAATTTTTTCCCCTTTATGTACATTAATAAAAATACGAAGGCCAAGTGGGAAGTAATGTACATAGAGAAAGAAAATTACAATAATTAAAAGTGGTGGGAGGGGGAATCAGATAGGGCCTAAAGACTAGTTTATTTTCTAATTGGTAATTTTGGTGTGACCTGTTATAGTTTTGAACAACTCTTAAAAGTTTAAGGCGTGATCTTAAGAATTCAGGGGTAGTGATATTTATAGGCAGGTCTGTCTATAGGAAACAATTCTGTAGATTTCATTGTATGTCTTCTAATGAAAGACCTAATGTGGACTTATTAAGGTAGGGAAAGAAATTTCATGTTTAGGGATGAGATGGTCTTTGGGATATATGCGGGGGTGACACCAAGAAACCCAGAATATTTTCAAAGCTATGCATTAAGATTTTTTTTACAAAACCACCTTAACACCTTCAAAGCACTCCATTACGACTAATACATCTGTCAAATCTGCAGTTCCATTCTTGGAAACATTTTTCAAACTTTTCTTCTCCTTTCTCCTTTTCTTCTTCACCTCTTCTACATCTTCAAACCAAACAGTCTGACCTGATGGAATGAACTCCAAATGCACTAGCCCCTTCACATCACATCTGTTTTTTGGGGTACCCCTCGTATGTGATAAGAGACTGCCCCACAGTGCAATTGATTCTAAGCAGTGATATTTTTTCAGAGTTCTCAGGCAATTTTACTGAGTTTAGCTAGAATCACTAGTTATTTAGCATACAGCTTCTCTAAGCTTCCCACTCCAGCAAATGGGTATAAAAACAGAACCTACCTTAGGGCTTACATCATTTTAGAGTTCATAAGAGAAAGAATACTATGTTTATTGGTTTATTGTCTCATCCTGATAAATTGTTTGTATAGGTCTCTTAATACTGCTTATAAAAGGTTTTACCTCCCTTACTCACAGGCTGGCCTGTTAGCTATCATGGCCCAGATGGGTTGCTATGTGCCTGCTGAAGTGTGTAGGCTTACACCGATTGATAGAGTATTTACTAGACTTGGAGCCTCAGATAGAATCATGTCAGGTGAGTAATGATTTGTTTAATGATTTGTTTACTGTGATACATGGTTTCTGTATTTTAAGTTAGACATCTGACTAATCCAAGATAACGGATTTATTTATGAGCCATTCGAGTTTGATGGTTTTTTAATTTTCTGGTGCTAATGCAAAGTTGATTTTATAATCACTAAGTAATTTTATTTTAAAAAATATCACATCCAATATTAAGAATTACAGAAATCTACAGTACCTCAGGATTACAATGTTAATGAATCTTAAGGGTCCATTATTATTCTTAAAATGAGTATCCATTTGTGTGTTTCTGTTTCAAAGGTGAAAGTACATTTTTTGTTGAGTTGAGTGAAACTGCCAGTATACTTTCACATGCAACAGCACATTCTCTGGTGCTTGTGGATGAATTAGGTAAGACATTAACATTTCTGGTAGGTAATTTTAAGAACACTATTGCAAAGAAATGCGTTTATGGGAGGTTGTCTGAAGGTTTGTCCCCTCACAGATTTAAGAAAGAAAGCATGCCCTTAGAGCAGGGGTTCCCAACCTTCCTAATGCTGCAACCCTTTCATATAGCTCATTATGAAACATAACATTATGTTCGCCGTTACTTCATACGTCTAATTTTGCTACTGTTATGAATTAGGCGCGACCCCTGTGAAAGGGGGTTGAGAACCACTGCCTAAGAATATTCACTGGTTGGTGAGTACTAACCCTGCCCCTTAGTTCACTGATAGGAAGACTAATAGAATTTCTGAAGCCAACCGCAATACTCCCAACCAACCCTCCCTATTTCCCCAAGCCAGAGCACTTACAGAAGAATGTTTTTGCACATTAATTTGATATTCTATAAGGTGCATCTTTTGTAATGCATGTTTTATTTTTACAGGGCGAGGTACTGCAACATTTGATGGGACAGCAATAGCAAATGCAGTTGTTAAGGAACTTGCTGAGAATATAAAGTGCCGAACATTGTTTTCTACTCACTACCATTCATTAGTAGAAGATTATTCTCAAAATGCTGCTGTGCGCTTAGGACACATGGTACCTGTAAACTCTTTATGCAAACCTTTCAGGGGAATCAGTTTGGGTACACAAGTATACTTAACAAGGTATTTTTTTCTTATAAAAGGCATGCATGGTGGAAAATGAATGTGAAGATCCCAGCCAGGAGACTATAACCTTCCTCTATAAATTCATTAAGGGCGCTTGTCCTAAAAGCTATGGCTTCAATGCAGCAAGGCTTGCTAACCTTCCAGAAGAGGTTATTCAAAAGGGACACAGAAAAGCAAGAGAATTTGAGAAGATCACAAAGTCACTGCGATTATTTCGGTAACTATGTCACCCAGCTGATTTTAGTAGGGAGTACAGGGGTGGGGCAGCAGAGAAAAATGATGCCTGGTGGAAATTAACAACCCTCAATTTTTGGTTTTGTTTTTAAGAGAAGTTTGCCTGGTGAGTGAAAAGTCAATTGTAGATGCTGAAGCTGTCCACAAGTTGCTGACCTCGATTCAGGAATTATAGAACATATTTGAAAAGTGTTGACTTGACGAAGGTGGTAAATCCGGACAACATTATGATCTAATAAACTTTATTTTTTAAAAATGACCATTTTTCCATTTTCTTTCTAGGAAATTAAACCCTTTTAATTCTTATCTACCTTCTACATAATGGTTATTGAATACTCCACAATATATTAAGTCTAGATGTTATGGTACATGCATACACTTTCAGGCTGTTTATACCCACTGTCACCAATACACATAAATGGGGGGGGGGGGAAGCTATGAAACTGTATAGGGCTGTATATATACTTGTCTCAGCTTAATGCAGGAAATCATTTTAATTCCCAGCAGTTTTGTCTAAACTGTTCAAAAAAAAACTATGAACAGAGTTCAAATACAGGACTGTTTTGAAGAGACTTTCTAAAGTGTACTTTAAAACATAGTAGTTTTTACCTTTCACAAAACTGAGTTACAAGAATACTTTTTGTTTTACAGTGCATCCCTTCCTAGGAAGTCTCATTAAAACACTCGTTCTAGGGGTGGTTTTTGAATGCTGCACAGGGAAGGGAAGGAAATAATAGTACTTTTCTTAAAGGATACCAGAAACATTGCTGGATATAATTTAAGATTAGTGTTTTCTCTTTCATAGAAAGAACGTACATACTGGGACATGAGTACAGTTACAGCAAGTCTAGGTGTGCTAACAAAACAGGGCACATTCAAGTACAATAAGATTTTGCTCAAAATTAAAAACAAACTACATGAGATTAAAGCATTAAAATCATATTTCTCAATCTGAATACATGTTTAAAAAAAATCAAAAGAAACACAGAAGTGCTAGCTCACATTTTTACCATATTACAAAAGCAATTGGTACCCATGTCCATAAAGGCAGCAACAAAGCTGCTTCGTCTATTGAAGATACTACTGCAAATTGGACTGCATTCAATGCTAGTTGTAAAAACACCAGCTTTTCAGAAGCTGGTATCTGTACAAAATTGCAGCTTATTTTCTTCACTTCTGTCCCTTCAAAAGTCTTTACACAGTAATGCTAAAACACCCAGCTTTGAGATCCTGAGTCAATATATTGCCACTTTCTTTTTGGTAGCTTGAGCTTCATAGTGTCAACTGACCTCGTGTATCCAAATAGTTTCTTCCTGTAGCATGGGCAAATATTTTAAATCTTCTTCCAAAAAAGTTTTTAAGTTATGATGTTAGAATGGCAGGACATACTCTTTAGGGAAGGAATTCAGTTGTGCTGCAAAGTATTAGATTCTATAGGTGGAGCAGAGTCATATAGTGTATCTGTATCGTGTGTAGGCTCACCAGCTAATGTACAAGGATTAGACAGTGTTCCAGCACCACAATCACAGAAAAACCTAAAGCAAAATGGAAACCCAAAAATTAGGAAAGTGAGGTGGGAAATAATTGGGTAACAGCAAGCAAGTGTGCTACATACCTATCATGTCTTATAAACTCTACATCGTGTCCCTGATGGCACTTCTTAATGCAGTTCACACATATGGCATTTCGATCTGTGGTGTTACAAGTGTGACATCTGAAAAGCAAAAGCTTACATTATTTTTCTTAATCATAATTGAAAATAATGAAAAATACTTACATTACCCTATGGCCTTTGGCTTATAAGGAAACAGGACCAACCTGGGAAGTTTATGTGGTTAGTGCTACATTCCAGATCGATTTTGAGAAGGCACTTTAATGGAATAAACGGCTTTGGTTTTGGTCTTGTCTCTTATGAGGAAATTGCTAGGTTGTGGGAAGGTAGTCAAGATTTTCATCCTGAGAGAGCGGTCACCCCCAGAACTAGGCTATATAGAGTGAGTTTTGATAACACTTCTCCTTTAGCTTATATGTATGTAAGGGAAATAAACATTAGTTTTTTTAAGGACACTAATGATTGAGACATACCTGTAGAAATCATGCATGGGATAGCTGGTATAACTGGATATTTTATATAAACATTGGCCTCTACTAACAGCCTTTTCTATGGCATCTTGATTGTTCATTATTTTATTATCTGTAATGAAAGAAAAATAGTAAAATTCTAGGTGATTAAAAGCTGTAGAACTATTCTAATAATGAAGTAACTGCAAGAAATCAGTTTTCTGTAAGATGTTCCAACTATTTTAGTCACCGTTTCCATCAAATGGTTAAGTTGGTAACGTGAATAGTGACAGCCCAGTTACTGAGAAACAATGGTTGCTACTGGTCATCTTCTCACGATCTAGTGTGCGTACAGGCAGAATATGACAACACTGCCCCCACCCCACATACCTTTCATTGTCACATTCACACCAGATGCTAAAAACAAGCCTCCAAACCGGTTGTTAAAAATCTGATTGCCTTCTAGTGTTGCAGTTGCATGATTTGTTATCTCGATACCTAAAATGTATAAGCATACCATCACTGTAGTTCTCTGATAAGAAACCGAAATACAGCATGTACAGAAAACGTTTTTTAAATATGAAAACTATAACACCCTGGACATCTAAAGCAATATACATGCTTATTTCAATCAATACAATTCATTTTACTGTGATACAGTATTGCTTGCTAATTAGAATGAAAATGGTGGAATTTTTTTAGTTTAAAAAATTAATTCCTTTGCAAACTAAGGGGGAGGGAAATGACAAAAAGTCCAGAAGTATGTCTACTAGGTAGCAGCAGAGGATGGTTACATAGTCAAAAAATGTAAATGTATATGCATAGTACTTGGGTTACATGATTTAGTTGCCACTCACTGAGTTGACAGTTCTGGTGACTCCATGTGTGACAGTACTGTGCTGGTTTGGGGGAAGTAGACTGTCAGGCCTTCTGAGGAACCTTTGGGTATACTCAGTCCCGAGCCTTTCAGCGAATGGCTGAGTTACTTAAATGTCTGCTTGGCACCTACAGACTGTATGGCAGCACTGTCTCAGAAGTACTGAACAGAAAGACCAATTCTTGTAAGTGGTTTAGGGTGGAAGACTAGGTGCACTTTCTTCCAAGCAGTTAGTAGCTACTGGGCCAGCACTGTTTTGATAAAAGAGAATGAGCCAAGCATTACATTTTCACAGGAAATAAGCCACTATTATGAAATACAAACCTGCAGCAAATCCATCAAATATTCTGTTTTTCCTTAAGACTGGGTGACTATTAGTGCTGATGAGAACACCTGCTTGAGCATTCCTGAAAATATCATTTTCTTCAAGGAGACCTGTAATAAAATATATCCTTAGTGCAAAATGCAAACTTTACTAGCCAAAACGAAAGTTCAGAAATATTTACGGTAGAATTAAGCTCCAAACTGTGAAAAGAGGGAAAGTCACCACTGTAAGTAACCGGTTCCTACCTCAAAGTTCCATGACAGCAGGACTATGCCTAGGTGCGTTAAACTGCGTTCCTTTCAAATACTTCTGCATAGAAGTATTTGCTTAAGAGTCCCTTAGCCTCATTTCCCAACTAATCTCCCCTCCATTTTTTAATCGGCTACAGAGTTTCTAACACTGGAGTTCTTCCTGATCATGCCACTTCCCATAACTACTTTAACAAAGTTAAAAAGACTTGGGCACACCTTTCTAAATATTGCCTCAACCTATTCCTTTGTCTCACTACACCAGCTTATCCTTGAATATGCTATCTATTTTTATCCCTAATATTTTTGGTTTATATTTCCTCTTCCTGAGAGGTCTTGCATTCTTTTCCTCCTAATGTCACCCCCCTTTCCATCAAGTGTAATTTCTTTGGGTAATAATGTTAAAGAGATATACTCCCCATTAGGTGTATGAGGGGGCTTAAAAAACTTCATTTTCTTTGAAATTTTTGAAGCTCCCTTTTATATACACACACATACACATATATACACACACACACATATATATGGTGTTGCTGATTCTAAAATCCGTTTCCTAGCTTAGTATAATTATCTTCTGGTAATTACCAATTTGGGCACCCCCAGGAACACCCTGCATTCATCATGCTTAAGATTGGCCATTCAAAGATTTTTTAATTGAATCCTTTTATTGGGGGCTCTTACACCCCTTGTCACAATCCATAGATTCTCAGATTTTTCCATTAAACGGTTCTATTTTGCTTCTGTAACAGAAGCCACTATAATCAAATCAGAATCCAAAGTAACTTTTCCTCCTTTCACTCTGTATTTAATTAACCCTCTCCTGTTGATTTGATGCTTCCCGCGGATCTCTGCTTGCTCCTGTTTCACTCATGCTGTCACTTTAGTTCGGCTCTCATCATTTCTTGCCTGAATTATCACCAGTCCATGTCTCTAACCTTGTATTACACTCACAACTTCAAGTGTTTAGAGCCCAAATGCCCTGTTCTGCCTCAATTTTTAGAACTTCTTGCCTACCAACTCTAAACTTCCTTTATCTTGTTTACAATGTAATATTCTATTCTATTATACTTCTATGCCTGAAACCTTCCTCCATTTACTAATTAGACTCTGTAAGCCCTATGAGTGTTTATCATTCATAGGATTATCAACACTAAATTGTAGTAATAAATTTTGTTGATTGATGGCGATAAATTTGTACTCAACATTCTTCCTAGACTTCTTTTACGAACAGATTTTGCAAGGTGAAAGAACTATGAAACTTTGGTTTCAATACATGACTTGATCTCTGGATACTAACCCAGTCATGCCTAGGTTTCACTAATTCCATTCTTCAGCAAACAACTGGAAATGGATACAAATTCATACTTGTTTATATACTGTACTTTCTCACATCTAAATCTACATAGCTTGTGGAAGTTTCTTACAATGTTATTTTCTAAATAATAAAAGGTCCAAAGAATGTAAACCAATTGTGCTGACTTAAAAAAAGCTTTATGGAGAGCTGTAAGAGCTCGTAATAAAATGATTAAAAACAAAAGCAAACAAACCTTAAAGGTTTATGGACACTGTTAAGTCAAAGTGGCTACAAAAGAAAGGGTGGGGGGAAATCTGTGAACTTTAGAACTCTAGGTAGATCTAAGGAAAAAGATTAAGATTCATATATAGAATAATTGGCAATGGAATAATAATGGAAAACTGGATTTTTCACTAATGCAAAATTAACAATACCTCGACCCCCATTAAATATG